TAAAAACCTCAGCCTACTCCTATGTTTATGTGGAAGTCTAACTCACAGGATCAAACACATCTCTGGTCAAAACAGTCTGCCCCAGGCTGGCTGAAACAGAACCAAGATTGGTAAAGGCTCAGAAAGTAGCTTTGCTTCTAGTAAAAACAAAACAAAACAAACCCAACATGCAACACAATTTCATAGTTAGTTCTTCCATTCTGACTGCTACTGCTCTTTGACCATAGTGCACATTAAAAGAAAAATGATACCCCACCCCCCACAAAAAGCAAATGAAAGCAAATGCATGTTCACAGCACTGTATATTTTCAAAATAATGTTGATTTGATTTTAGACTATCCCTAAAGCCCCTCTGGGGATTTTCATATCACAGATGGAGAAGACAGAACCCAGAAAATGGAATCAGTGCTATAACCAAGTTAAGAACTAAAGAGCTTTTGGGCTTCTAGTCCTATAAAGTGATCACTTGAACCATATTGCTTCTGTCCAGGGGATGATGTTCCCCTGCAGAATGGCTCTTCACAGCAAACAGGAGATCTTGGTTTTTGACAGGTTTCCACTTTCTAACACTATTTGGCTTTCCCATACAGGAAGAACAGATGGGCATCTGGCTTTTATGGTCATGTGTCCATCATACTGTCTCCCTCCTCCCCCTGTCCAGGCAAGCTTGCAACAAAAGATTTAAAACTGCAATCAATACAAAAAAAGGTAGCACAGCCTACATGCACATCCCAAGTTCAATATAACTCATTAGGAAGTTCTAGTAACCCTAAAGGACCTCAACCCAAGGCTTGTGAATCCAACCCACTACCTTCCTGGCTTCTGACTCATGAATAACTGGTGCCTCTGACTGAAAAAGCCAATGTATCAGTCAGAGAAGGAACCTTCCTTACCCCCCTTCAAATTCACAATAGTCTGACAAATACTTAAGAAACATACTGCGGATACATCATTCTAGCCAGTGTTAAACCATCCATTCCTAAAACAAGCCAGCTGGAGGCTGACTACAAGCTATTTAACTGAAGTTTTGTCCCAATCTGGAGTCAGACTAGGACATGGAGTTGAAACCACTTTGGTGGCACGGATGAACGGTCTCCTTCTGGCAACCCATTTATATCCTCCTGGACTTCTCTGCAGAATTTAACACTATGGACTGTAAGATGCTTCTGTTTTGCCTGACCTGGGTAGCAGGAATTCATGCTAGCATGGTCTGGGTCTCTGCTGGAGGTACACATGCTCCGTGTAGCGATAGCAAATTGTAGCACCACTGCAAGTGAAGGGTCTAAAGCAATTCTAAAGGGATGAATTCTGCCTCCACTCTCTTTCGAACAGCCACCAGCTGAACTGAGCAGAAGACACTGTATCAAGTGTTAGTCACAGAAGGAGGGCAAACAGCTTTACCTATCCTTTTCTACATATAACCACACTGTGATGACCCAGTTTTGAGACAAGATCAATTGACTGAAGCTGAAGCCACGAAATACAAGAGATGATGTTAGTAGGAAAAAGGGAAGTGTTCTGAAGAATTCACAGACACGCTGCAGTCTCCTTCATTCAGTTTAGTAATCTTGTATTCCTTGTATCCTCTCACTTCCAGCTGGCTTTCCACTCTTTCCAATTGTCTAGAACAGTAGTTATCAACCTTTTTTGGAAGAGGACCCATTTGTAAACATCAATGGCCAGTTCCAACCCAATGCACTTCACCTCCAACCCACTGCCCCCAAGCCCCAACCCCTGTGTGTGGGGCGGGAGGGAGGCCACAGGGAGTCCCAAGCAGCCCCTTTCAGACTGGAACTCTGCCAGCCTGCAAGGGAAAAGCCAGAGTTTCCCACATTTTTCTCCTTTAAAGGAGAATCCATTTTTCAAGTTTGTTTGCAACACTTTCATATATTCTTGCAACCACTTTTGGGTCACAACTCACTGGTTGAGAAATGCTGGTCTGGAAGACACTGTTCACATCCTAATGGACGTTGACCTGATTCTCAATTATTCTCACCTTCATATGCCTGTTGGACTACAGAAATGTAATATACCTGAGCACAAAAATTTCAGAGCTTAGGAAACTGGTGCAAAAACTGCAATGTCTTTCTTCAGAAGCATGACCTGCCATGAGTACATTGGTCCTGTCCTCCACCCTCTAGACAGGTTTCCCACAGAATTTGGAATCAAGTTCAAAAGTCTCCATTTTTATCTGTAAGCTGTTCCATAAAGTAGGCCCAAAAAATGCATCTAAGGCTCTGGGTTGAAGATTTTGGTTGACAACTATCTTTCTCTGGCAGAAAGAAACACGGTTTAAAAAAAGGGCAAAGCTTGCGAACATGAGAGAAAGAACTGGGACTACACCAAGTTCCTCTAGGAATTAAGGGTCAGCACACACCTCAATACTTTTTATGCCTAGCATTTTTGGACCTACTTCTCCTGGGGGGAGGATGGAACTAAAAACAAAAAAAAATATGTATTTTTAAAAGATGGCCAGAGAAAACACACCATTGAACAAATTTCTTCCAGTTGGGAGAGGATTAAAGAAACAACATGCAATAGAACATAGTCATGTTACTTAGACTCCTGGCAGGCACTCTCATGCTCTGGTGATGAGCAAGATTTCACAACCTACAGAGCAAAATAGAATAAGCCCTTTTACTCCTCCAAAACAGAAGAGAATCCTCCACAGTAAAACTGCTCCCCTCACTTTGCCTTCCTCCAAGGGAAACAATGAATAAATATATGGATTTTGCCCCAAAGATCATCATGTTCTGATAATTTCACCCAAGAGCAGCTGAACTCAATCATCGCCACCTAGCTGTACAAACATGAACACCAGGTTTGAGCACCTGAAATTGATTTCCGTTGAGAAAGAATATCTAAGAGGAAAGTTGTCTGCTCATAACAAGGAACCAAACTGAAAAAGAACCTCAGGTCAAAACTCATCACCTCGAATAGCATCTGCGCACAAGCCAGAGTGGCCTGCAGATAACTAGTGTAATACATTCCAGGCTGAACACAATAGTAACATAGTAAGTAATAGGAAGCAACATTTCTAACACATGAAGTTAATAAAAATTCTTCAGTATAGTCCCGGCCAGAGTAATTTAAGCAAGAGGTAAAGGAAACAGACAACTAGCAAGATGTAGATACAGAACCCCATTTTTACGCAAACATTGGGGAAGAATTACCCTGGGTACTTCTACAGGCATCTCAACACCATCCTAAAACGTAACAAATTACATACCTTTCTAACAAAACTCCACTAAAGTGGCAAAGATCGCAACCTATCTTTTACCTTTGGTAATCTATATCCAGACTGTGGAAAAATTATTTCCCAACCCAAACCAAGTCACCTCTTTTGTTTAGAGATTTTTGGAAATATTCAGCTTTACAATGCCTGGATATATTTCAGTATAGCAGTCTACAGAAAAGAGACGGGGTAACTGCCCAGTCCTTGCTATGTTCATTCCTAATTCTTAAACATGTTATTTGAAAAAATAGAGTTAGAAAATGAGCCACAGATGAGTAGGTTTACAAAGTAATGAATAGTAAAATACCTTACAACTCGAGGGATGAGAAAACATATTACCCCAAAATGCTTTTTGAATGAATGCAGTTGCCACAAGGCTGGTTGCCAGGGTGAGATCTGAAAGGAAATATGACTGTGTCATCATGGTGCTCTTAATGACTAAATATCTCCTCTTGCCAATCAATTATCCCATGTAAAACATGGAAAGGATTCTTAGAACAGAGTTTCAGTGTTGAAAATAAAGTAAGGGAAATCTGGTTTCCATTTGAGTAACTGTGTGTTAAAGTACTGACATGCCACCCCAAAGTCCTTTATTTCCAATCAAACATTACCTTTCATATTAGATTATGGAGTGGGGAAGTGTTCCAACAGGTTTTTAACTTCAAATCAAGAGCCAGAGTAGCCAAAAGAATCTTTCATCTGAGGGATGACACCACAGCATTGCACTGCAAATACGACAGAGCGGTCTCAGTAGGAAATGTGTTTTACATAATTCTGGTTCTTGAGAATTCTCCCAACTGAATGCTAGAAATTTTTCCAGTTGTTGCCCATGAGAATATCCCATGTTTGTGAGCGCAGGTTTAGAAGCATGTGTACACATCATTGACTTCAAGCCCTCATAAACACCAGTCAGATTATCACTCTCTCGCCATTTGAGTGCCTACACCAACAATCAAACAGAAATTAGTTGCCATGATTCTCATCTTTGACTCTTGTTGTCCCAAACACTCCAAAATGTTACTCTGTCTTCCCCACTCACACCCCAAATGTTGTTACAACACCACACACAAACAATTTCTTCTGTGTTATAGCAGAGTTTATTTTAATATTTTGTACAGCTAGCATTGGTCTCAAGTAATAAGTTATAAGTTTACATTAGTGAATACCCTCCCACCCCTTAGGAATGTTCAGCTTCCACCATTTCTAATTTATAGAGAAATTATAGGGCAAGATGTTACATGAAAAATGGAAATGAAACCTAATTCATAAACAAAATTCCCTGAAAACTCTTAGATTACCTATATCTACTTGGAGTCCATAAAATGAGTGCAGAAGCCACATCCTCCACAGTTACACTAACAGAATAGTCATCTAACAAACTGTTCTTTTATTTTGGGACAGCCGTATTTTTTTTTTTGTTTAATTTGACATCATAAGCTTCTGCGACAGAGATACTTTACAGGCCTGTGTAGACAGTCAATGTAACAGATTTCTCTGCAAGTTACTAGCCTTAATTCAGTTGTTTACAGTACCAGGTTTCAAACATTTCTTAATGTGGATTTTGCTTTCTAACAAACAGACAAGAAAAACTGACTGCAACAGATATTCCCTTTAAGTAACAAACAACACTCAAAACAAATAAATACTTTAAAACCCTTCAAGTGGCAACAATGTACATACTTGGATCCAGGGCAGAGCCCTGTTACTTGTTATGTAAAAAGCACTCCAAACACATTTCTTCAGTAGCACGCCAAACATCCTAGTCAGCCATGGGTACCATCTTCCCTGGCTTCCTCTGAGGTTAAAAACAAACAAAAAAAATCTTAGCAATAACTTCAGAAAAATGTTTCTCTTGCCCATACAAAGGTGTCTCTAAGATGATCATGATTTATATTTTCTAGCAGAGATAAACGAAGAGACTGTATAAATGTTTCCTTCTTCCTCACTACAAAGTATTCCTTCAGTAATCCTGAGCAAATTCAGATAGGCCTAGGGAAACGAGACATAAATAACAAGGGCAAGCCTCAGGACTTAGAGGTTAAGATCTATAGATGGCCACAGGGGAAACCAAGGTTTGGGGCTAATCCTGCCTTCTACTCAAAGGCTGGAAAGTTTTCAGATCTCTGCAGATATCCAGGCTGTAGCCATATCAGTCTAAAGGCAAAAGGAATCAGAACTTGTGGTAGAGGCGATACCTTTTATTACACCAACCAGATTTTTGCAAAGAAAATTATTTAATTGTGATTAAAGGATTTTCTCCAATTGCAAGCAAAGACTTTTTTTGCAAAAATCTAGTTTGTCTAACAAAAGGTATCACCTCTACCACGAGTTCTGATTCCTAGATCTTTGCAGAGCTTTCAGCCTCTGGGGAAAGCAGCTGCTATATCACCTGCAAGTACTTCTTTAGCACACAACTGATTGGCTTCACAGCCTTCTCAGCTTCCACAAAGAATACTGTAATGCTGACCAGTTAGTTTCACTGCCAGAGAAAGGTGAGACTTTAGTCTTGACTGCAGATAAAGAGAACCCAGACTTCAATATTTAGGGTTGTTGTTTTCTTTTCAAACCAAATTAAATAAAAGTAAAATAAAGAATTAAGCTCTTAAACAACCACCTTAAATAGAAAATAAAAATCTAGCCCCAAGAAGTTCAACATTATTTTTCAGACTACTCTGAAAGCCCCATTTTATGTCAAGTAGGAAGCATAAGACCTCTTAAAGATCATTTTTATATGTCAAGAGAAATTGTACAACACACACAGGTTTGCCGTCCCTTTTTCATAGGAATCCGTATCTGTGGCAAAACAAAATACATGGGGAGTTTTTCTGTTTCTTTTTTTATAAATAGAATAAAGACTGCTGAAGCCATGTAAACTTTTAGCCACATACAAATGAACTAACGTAGCACCTTACTCCACAAGAGCATTCCTAGATGCTTTACAACACAAAAAAAAAAAATATATGTATATACTTTTGCGTGTAGGTCTTCCACCCATCAGAGGTTCTTCTTATGCCATGTAGTGGTTTTTCCTTTAATGATATCCCAATTAGAACAAAGCAAATCCTTTGTTTTGTTTTGAGCACTTTTTTTTTTTTTTTTTTTTTTTACATGTTCTGTATATACAACCTTTAAAATACACTTAAAAATAGCTGCACACATTTTATATCTCATTATATACTAAAGAAGTAGTCCAGACAGACCATGCTTCTCAGCAAGTTAAAAATTTTAACTAAAACCCAACCAGTTTTATTCTCCTCTGGTACTCTCACTGGCCCGAAGGAGGGAAGGAAGGAACAAACGAGCAGTTTTAAAATGGGAGTCTTTCACAAAACACGCTACTTACAAATCTCAGGTTAATTTCCTCAACCACTTCTATCAAATTCTTCCTTAAGTATTTGAGATCACACACTACCATCTCAGCAATGAAACCTGTTGCAACATGAATGTGTCAACTGCCCACTCAACCAACTGCAACCCTGAGGATTTTTCTGGCTTGGTAGAAAGAGGAAATGTAACAATCCCTGCAGTATGGCTGATCCTCCGCAGCAAATCCACTGTTTTCCTAGATGTTTCTTGGATATGCATCCATTTGTTAATTCAAATTTGAGTTTCCCTCTAACCAACATGCAGATTCCTCCTCCAGATCATCCACATCCAGATGTCCGAAAGAGCCAATCAATGTCATCCATCTAGAGGCTTTCCTAAGTAGACCAAAGTCACCTCTGTGTTGCCATACACAGCTGACACTGCTGGATACAGGCAAACCTTTGGCAATCCTCTGAATGCAACTCCCAAGAACTCATAGCCACGCTCAAAGGCTAATGTCTTGTCTTCCATGTCTAAGATGACTCGAATCCTCTCACCTATCTGCAAAGAGAAAGAGAGAGAAAAGGAGAAAGAAAGAGAGAGAGAGAGAGAGAGAGAGAGAGAGAGAGAGAGAGAGAAGGAAAAAAAAAAAAAATCAGATAACAGTCAAAGAGAAACAAAGGAAAAATAAACTAAAAATAGCATGCAGAACAATAGATCTTATAAGGAAAGACCTTATTTAGAATTCTGTGCATCTTTTTGGTACAAATGCTCAAAAAAGATCAATTGAATTGTGTTAAAAGAAGAGCCTCTAAGATGGTTAAGGGAATGGAGGCCTTCTCTTATGGAAGAAGATAAAAGGAGCTTGGCTTGTTTAGCCTAACAAAAGGGATACCAAGAGGAAACGTGATCAGCCTTTGCAAGTGCATTCCCAAGGAAATGAATATTAGGAAAGGAGAAGACCATTTTCAGCTGTAAAACATCACCAGCACAAGACCACAACAGCTATGGAGAATTTAAGACAGTTGGAAATCTAATTTCCTCTCAGAGAAGTGGTATTTTTGGAATGGTCTTCCAAGCAAAGTAGTGGGGTGAAACACTTTTAGAGTGAACTGGATAAGTATATGAAAGGGATGGGATGGTAAAACAGGGAGTTTTGGCTTAACAATTGGTGTGAGATACATGGAATCATTTAGTTTCACTTTCCACATTGGACTATAGATGTAACTCTCCTTCAGTGTAATTAGTGTCTGGTAATCGCATACTTCAGAGCTTTCACTGACTGCCAGTAAGGAAAAGAAAGCAATTCCCAACCCCCACCCGCCCCTCCTGAATCCTATTAACTTGTGGAAGGAGGTGGAGTGAGTTTCACCTTCCTCTGAAATATTGGAACACTGGCCAAAGCCAAGACTGTGGGTTTTTGACAGGAAAGCAGTGATGCTCCTGTCAATGCTTAAAAAAAAATAAAAAATAAAAAATAAAAAAATCAGAAGTTCCTGGTTAGAAGTTCTTGCTTTTCTGCTCAGAGTCGTACCGATTGCCAAATATGGAGTCATTTTTTCATTATGTCAGATTGACACAAGTTGTGGGGGTCCTTGCTTTCCTCCATAGCATGGGAAATGGTCTTTTTACTGGGATCTTTTGAACATTCACTAAATTATTCCCTACAGTTGCAGCCTCATTGCAGCATCAAGGCATGACAATGCCAACACTTCTCCCCTACTTTTTTCTATGCCTCTATGGCAGGGGTGGGCAAAATCCAGCCCATGGGCCAGATCCAGCCCACAGTGGACTCTATTTCCCAGCAGCCCCTGTGGCACCAGCTCCTTCTGGCAGCTGCTACCAGACCCAGCCCTGATGCCTGGGCACCCTGGCCTGTCTGCCCCACAGCCACCACCAGAAGTGGGACCCAAGCAAGACGCACACCCGGGAAGCTGGGATGGAGCCATGGCTGGGAGTGAGATGAGTGAGTGGGGCCGGGGAGATCACGGGAACTTGGGGCACTGACAGTACAGGGACAGGGCTAGGGCAGAACCATGATCCACTACCTGCACACTCCTGCACCAAGCATGGGTTCCACGGACAGGGGCATGCAAGGAGCGGATCACAGCTCTGCCTCTGTCTTGGTCCCTTGCTGTCACTGGATCCTGGCCCTGGAGCAGCTCCCTGCCCAGCTGTGCACCTGGGGCTGAGGCAAAGCCCCAGTTCTGCAAGCAGGGGTGTGCAGGAAGCACACTGAAGCTCTGCCCAGGCCACTCACTGTCACAGCCCTGCATTCCCAGGTCTCCATGGAGACCAAATGGGAGCCACGCAGGCAGGGGCTGCCAGGAAATGGGAGTCCAGCCATGGCCAGATCCTCCATTTTGCCCACCCCTGGTCTACAGTATGTGATAGAGTGTTCTTGGTGTCCTGGGTACTCTGCTTTATAGATGCCTGTGAGGGTTTGAGGTAGAAATTCTGGGACTCCTTTCAGTAAATGATTCCCTGTAGACACAGAGGACTAGACTCAAACAGACCTGGAAGGGGCTTGCTGGCCATTCTATTCTTCCAGAGAAAAATTAATGCATATCTTGAAATCCATCAATTTCACTGATGCTCAAGAGATTCTGATTAGCTACACTCAATAGCTGTTTCAAACAGACAGAGTACATATAACCCCCACAATGCTAGAAACACCAAATGTTACCTTTACATACAAAGTCGGTAACCCTAAGAATTAACATCCATCTATTTATTCTGTAGTAATTGCCTCTAACCTGCATTTCTCTTGACAGCATATGCCTGTTAAGAACTTGTGGTTAAAAGTCTTTGTAAATTTTAAAGCCAAAAGAACAACTTGAGAAAGTAGGGGGCATATGCAAGATAGATTGAACAACTTTTTTTGGATATGCCTGTGCTTCAAATATCACAATTGATCCTTTATTTACCAACACATCAGGATTGCAAATATTTTGGACAAAAACAAATGGGAAAAACTGAAAGAAAAAAAGGTTATACAAAAGCAAGGGATACTCAATGCACCTGGAAAAAAAGCACAGATCATCATATAAACATGATGCTGCATGCCAACCTATTTACCCACAGTGCAATATTGAAATGTAATTAGGTAACAGCCCCCAACAGCAAGCAGTAACAATATTGCCTAGGATGTTGTGGAAAAGTCAAACTATCCTCTGTGTAATCTCCTTTAAGCTCTTCTTCTATCTAAAACAACACTAAAGAATATACACCTTTTTCACTTTTTTTAGAAAAAGAAAAATCATGTTATGTGCCTTATTTTACAGAAATATTTTTCTAAGAACAGCAACTTGAAATTCAATCAAAGTAAAAATAAACCAATTGTTACATACTCTACAGCCTTGAGTCCAAGAAAACTTCTGCAGTTTTATAAAATATTGCTTTCCCTGTAAAGGTCCAAACAAAGAATCTGAACACAAGTGATAAATGGGGAAAGAGACTATACACAGCCATGTCAAATGCATTAACTGAAATGAAAAATCTTTAATCTTTTCCAATCACAGGAGTTTTACGTTTCTACTGTTAAAAACAGGAGGCACAAATCTCAGAGAAATGTAATTTAGACTTCAGTGCCCCTATTCAAGATCATCTTCACTATACTAATCAAAAAAGCCAATTTTTACTTTAAGTGGGGTTTGGGGACATTATACAGAAAATTATTAAAAATCTTCACCCACCACTGATACGCTACCACCTTTAGACTAAAAAAATAAAATAAAATCGCACAAAAACATTACCTGACAGAATGAGACAAGGAGTATACTGCACATAATTGATATGCAGCATGAGGCAATCTAGTAGGTAGAATATAATTATCCTAAAAATAAAGTTGGGTCAGATCAAAGCTAAATATGGAAAAAGTATCACATATGCTAATTACCACAAGTTATCTAAACCTCAGTTTTGTTTTATCTGAAAGATATCACCTCTAAAGAGTACTAATTACTGAGTAAACACCATTTAGCATTACACGGGATTCTGGGGGGGGGGGGGGGGTTT